GTAACCACTTGCACTAGTGTATAGACTGCCACACGAAGCCACTGCGTCTGGTACCCTGGATACTTTTGTGTGTAATCAAAGAAAACTGTACCGTCGTTTCTGTTGTTGAATAGAGGTTTCTTATCATTACATTTCCATCATCATGTCTGCCCATAAAGACATCATTCAAGGAGGAAAGGTGAAGCACATCAACAAAGGGATTAAAATTCCTGGCGATGGGAGTGAGTTGAGTCCAAAATAGAAAGAGTGTTCTTGTCTGAATTTATTTGGAAATTGGCAAAACCTGGTAAGGCAGTTGTGCGATGTAACGTAAGAAATTAATTACGCTTTCCAGGGCAAAAATACCTTAACAGCACTTGCAGAATCGTTGAAATACAACAGCGAACTCGAGACACAGAAAACAAATTATCGTCTATCAGGTACATGTGTACCTGAACATAATCGACATGTATTTTGAAGCATAAGACAAACCATAAGTGATGAACAAAACTATGCGGTGGGTCTTTACATGTATAACACATATCAAGTAAACAAATAATAAACAGGTTAGGCTAGGTTTGTCAGAGTATGGACTTTCACAAATATTTCTATTGTAAAATATGTCCCAGAGTGGCTTAGCATTACATTGCACCACAGAGCATCTAAAGTTGACAATTTTCCTGGGGCCCGCGTGCCGTAAAGGGCTGCGCGCTCGCAAATTTCAGCTTTTTTCATTTTCTGAGAATCTCATCCCTGCATCAGAAAACTTGATGTAAAGGAGACTTCTTGATGATGTTAAAACATTAGCCAGCTTGATACTAAATTAGTCAAGGGATGTGTGACATGCATACTGAATGCTGGTAACATGAAAGTAGACAGTTGGAATAGCAAGGCCACAGACACCTTAGTGTCTCATGGAGCTCATCATAAGGAAATACAATTTGCTCCTTTTTAATGCATTAGGAACATGACCCTTGTATGGTTGTGTAGCATGCTGTCACTGTTCATGTAGTGTGTAGGGGTGGTTTAAAAAAAAATCAAATGCTGCAGCATCACACACTTTACATTTTCAATCATCACTCAGTGTGCACACTGAAATCTTGACATAATTTTTATCCAATGATAGCTCAAAAATGTCAGTGTTCCCTGGTGCTCTTTGTGAACAAAGGGAGCCCATTTTCCCTGTGAGCATGTGTGACTCCAAATAGTCTAAACAAAATACAAGTAATTCTACATTTTCATTGATCAATATCCACAGCATGTAACTTATTATGTATGAGAATTTCTATACCAAATTGGTCGAGAAATAGAGTCAGACATATGCCCCCTCCATCCACAAGAAAGTAAAGGCCTTCATGGCTTTGCCTCTTGCACTTGTCTTGTTTTTTAGCGTTGAACGTAAGCATCCGGGGCTTGGCTAAAGGCTAGCATTGTACATACACGTGTATAGTACGCCAGCTTACACCCTTAAGTATCAACAGCTTGCAGCACTTTTTTATTCAGAATAGTATCATAATAATGTTCATGTTTGAAGTGACACTGTGTTGTCAACAGGCATTTTCCAGTGAAATTCAGATCACGTTTAGCTGAAAAGTAGAATTCTTTATATTGAAGTTTTCTATTGTTAACTTACATCTGTCTGTCTTCATCCACAGCCCCCTCCCCCGGGCGTCGCCCCCAATGCAGCTCAGATGGCTGTAGCTTCTGGACACAATCTCGTCATAAGTCAGCAGAAGGGCAGCTGGCTAGAGGGGGGCGGCGATGGTGGCTACAGTGTGTTCTAAACAAGTGTGCTTGGGTTGAAATCAAATTTTTCATCAGAGAATGCTGTGGCTGTCAGAGGAAATTGATCACCAAGTAAACCAAGCTTGCATCTTGCAGGATACTAGTGAATGGATTCAAGACAGTCATCATTAAGTTTTCAAAGCTTGCACAAATTTGAATTTATACTTTCTAGGAGAAATTTTTTCTAGGGTCCAGAAAACAGCATACAAGCTTTTTTGTTCAGAAATATCAATCAGCAAGTTGATTAACAAGTAATGTTCCCATATGTATTAGTTACAACACTCTTGTAATACCACCACTTGGTAACTTTTTCTGATAGTGTCTGTTGCATGTTTCATGTAGCTAGTGAATGTGTAACATCTAGGGTATGCTTTACCAAACCAGCTATTTACGACCCTAAGATGTAAACACCGGATTTCAATAACTCACAATTGTTTTAATTCAACAGTTGAACATGACATTTCTTGTTATCGTCTCCTTTTTCTGCAAGCCAGGTAGTCAGGCTCTTTTTGTTTTAACCCTAACTACCCCAAACCTGCCATACTCCAACAGGTTTGGTACCGTACCTGATGAACTTGTTGAATTTTGTGAGACTTGGGATGAAAGGCCCTGGGAGATGGTGTTGGATTCTGTGTGAGTTGGGACACACACAGGTCACTGTGTGCAATGTCTGGCTTGCTGTACCAGTTGTTGGACTATGCTTGATTTTGTCAGGTTTGGTACTGTTCAGTGCAAGTCATTCTATACTGCATAGACCCATCCATAACATATCATTCAAACTCCAACGGGCTCATTCTGTTTGAGTTTATCAGGTTTGGTACAGTAACCTGCATGTACAAGTACATAGACAAGTACATGAACCTGTTGGATTTTGTGAGGTTCAGTATGTTTTCTAGTGCAGGAGTCTAGGGGGTTAGGGTTAATGAGGGTATCCTATTGAGAACATTTTTAATGGTATGAAACTTGAATGCCAGACGTCCTTTTGGTGAAATTCTTGTCCATATAAAAAATGAAGTGCTGAAATTATATGGCAACTTCATATCCTTTTTAAATTGAAGATGTATTGTGTATTTAGCCCACCCCTTTCGGAATTTAGCCCTTTTAAAAGATTTTCTGTTTCCCAACATAGGCTAAATTCTTGTTTATACTTAATAATTTGTATTTGAAACTATGACAGAATTTCTTGTCTTCGTATAAATTTGGAAACAGTGTTTCATTATATTTACCTATTCTGCACATGTAAATAGCTTACTTTGTTGATAACGATTCCTATGTCAAGATTCTTATCGTGGGATCAAAGTTCACTTGAGGGGTTGCTATCAGGTTTGTGGGGCTTAATATACGTGTACCATTGCATGTAGGGAATCTCATAAAAGTCAAATTTGTAATATTACGTTATGAATGCGGTTATCTATTCAGTTTTAGGATCTTTCAGTAGACAAAACTGCACATTGCTGCCTGCGGCATCACCAGTCACTGGCCAATGGAAATCACTTGTTGAATCACCCCTGAGGCTCTATCAGTGCCCCATGTGGCCAGAAGGCCAACTGCCATTGTAGACAAGATCTACATGTACATGTAAGTGCCACACATGGTAACTGTATAGCCAGCAAGGCTTCAAAGATACATGTATCTAAATGGCATAAAGTATGCCAAAATGCAGAGCAAGCACACTGACAGCTGTCTGCATGGCACAGGTAGTTTCCCATACCATTTGAGTTTTGCAATTATTTCATATGAAAATGATCCCTATTAACATGTTGACAATGTGAGGCAATCTTTTAGCTGGGAACCAAATGCTTGTGGTAAATGGTGGTTGATCTCGGGGAAACTGTGTGATCACACCTTGACATTTTTTGATCAGACCCTATTGGGAAATGTACATGTAGGTAGGCTACCCCAAGTGCTGAGGTACAACTTGGCAGTGCACTATGGATTAAAATTCCCTAGCCTTTGATTGCTGTTTTTCCCACCGTATCTGCATGATCTGAGAAGAAAACAGCATCAAAGGGTAAATCATTTTAGTATTGATTTTAACCACTAGTTTGCAGAGATTCTACATCTTGTAAACTAGAATAACCCGAATGTTAAACCTACGAATCACTACTGTACATGTAGGTATAGAGAAATAACCCAAGTTTGGTTATTGAGCTTTATTCAATATACAGAAATGAATTAATACGAAACAGTTTTACAATTTATAAATGAACCTAGCTGTGATTGATTTCTTCAACGGCAACAACTGAATATTAATAAAATGTATATGTTGCTTCTAATTTTAGTATATGTTGTTAATCTTATAGATAAATTTATCTTTACATATATTTTTTCTATCAATAGCATGAATCACGTAACATACAATAGGAATTTGCATGTAAGTGTTGTGTGGTACACTTTTTCATAAACTCTTACCATATATTGAGTGAATACAAATAAACATGATAAGCATTATGAAATTGGAAAATCTGTGTCCAGTTTTAGCTACATGTAGTACAGAGGTAAGAGATCTGACACGTACAAACTTGACATTTAAGTAGTCAGCACTTCACTGCTGAAAATGGTAACAGTTTATTTTGAGAACAAATTTGAGGAAAGACAATTTAGTTTCAACGTAAGAAATTTGTACCAATTTTCAGCAGTGCCTATTGCAGGCTGGAGGTGGGTTTGACTCCCAATCAAGTTTGTAATTTTTTTTCTTGGAAAGTGCCCACAAACTGACATCAGTGTACAGGAACAAATTTCAAATTTGTATGCACCCTTATTGGTTGTCAAAACAGATGCAAAAAACAAAGTAATGTGGGATGTGATCAGCACTTGATGTAGCCCCAAGTCGAATTTCTTTCATTGCCTTTTTGTTTATTACGTAACGTGAGCGGTGAAGCATGTCCCCATTTCTCTTTAAATAGCCCCTATTGCCACGCATCTCTCATTCTTTCCTGCCTTGCTGATGGTCATAGCAGTCGCTTCACTACTCCGAGTTCTTGTGCTTCCTTCTAGGTGATTCCGGTTGTTAATTTGTATCCTTTTCTTCGCGTTCGTCGTCGTGGTGAACCGGGTTGTTTGGCAATAGCATACAGCTAATATATTCCGGTGAGCTACAATGACGGCGTTTCTTCTCATATCTTATTTTATTTGTTACCCAGGGGGTCTATTTGTTTTCCTTTTGATATAAAAATTCATTTACTTCAGTTTGGGAAAGAAAACTGCATAAAAAACACACAAAAAAGAGACTTCCATTTTTAAAATTATTTTCTAAGGCGAAGTAGCCACCCAATTATTTTCAAAGGCTAGGTTAGCCACTCTATTTCCTGATGCAAAGTAGCCTAAAATTTAGCACTCTCCAAACACTTTTGCCTCCACTGTTCCAAACTTATCCATTATTCTTTTTTTGGCTGTTCTACAGGACGGTAGAGGTTATGTAGGATATTGGTCTCTAAACACAATATTCTCATTAATGTACATACAATAAGAATACACATACATGTATATTTGAAGTTTCACTGTGTCACCATCTCAAAGTGTGCTGCTTGCAAGCAGGATTCTTTTGTTAAAATTCCCCTACATGTGGAATTTAAAAGTTACAACAAAAATTGAGTACAATTTCACAGTAGTGGTGCAACACACTTTAATAATCACACGGAAGTATTCCAGGAAAGTGCCCATCAAGCCATTTTTTCTGACCCTGGATGTCAGGTACCGCAACAACTTAGTCCCTGGAGGAATCGGGGGGGGGGGGAATCTAGAGGGATGGTAGGCCAATGGAATTTCCGCACCCCCTTGCTGCACTACTCTGTGCCAGTCACACAACAGGTCTGAATTTTTTGAAACAAAAATAATGCCTTGACCTATGAGGGAACTTTCTCAGAACACTGTAAAACTAGACACTTCCTTTGAGTTAGAAACCATGCTATAAAATTTCAGAATCCTGTTCTAGTATCTCTCTTGTCATATTACATGTACATGCAAAAGTTCCTTTGATGCCAGGTTACAAAGAGTTTGTGCTTCTTCTTTATTTTGGTTTTTGTTACATGAAGACAAAAGGCAAGATATTCATGATACAGTTCTGGTCTATATTGTAAAATGGCAACAGATATCCCATGTGGTTCCAGAAGTAAAACTGAAAAATGGATGAATACGTTCTACTTAAACAGCTAGCAGGCATCGGCATCAATCAATTTCTAAAGCTTTCAAATTTTTACTTATTTTCAAATGTAATTACATGCACACCTACATGTATATCCCTACACAACTATGTTAATAAGCTGAAACTGCAACGATAAAAGGCAAATGCAAAATCAACTTCAACCAAATTACCAAACTGTTACCATTTTCAGTGCCCCCAAAACATATTTAATGGCACATGGAACCATAAACTTAACAATTAACAAGCCATATTCAAAGAAACAGTGAAAAATGCAATCCCTCATGTGTCCATCTTTTGTGACTGTGATCAGACTTTTGACTTACGATGGACTAACTCCCTTCGTGGAGGGAGAAAAAAATGAACATTTTTTGATGGGGGTAGAAATCTGTATGCTTACAGCTATAGAATCTGTAGTGAAAAAGCGGTTGAGTTCAAGTTTTCATGATGATAGGCTTAAAAAATAAAGAATTTGGCACTCCTTGTATATTTGTCGCAAATACAAAAAAAGAGAAAATATAATATCGGCCGATTTAATTATTTCTACACAAACAAATCAATTACCGGTAAGAGCATTTTTCACCTTAATTTTTAACACATTCGATATCACAGTTATCAAATGAATGCTTTCAAAACTTTTGTACACCCAAGCCAGCATTGGGAGTTTGACTTTAAAACCTTACTGCTAGCCACAAGCCTGTCTGTTAATTTCTATTCTTTAGGGAGGAAAACAAAATGGCAGCCAGTGTAACTGCAATATCACTTTTTGAGTTCAATCATCCAGGGTCATCTGGAATGTTCAATCTGCCACAACCGTTACCAAGAACCATAGATGCAAAACTGCTCCCACAGCTTCTGTCTAAAATGCCTCCAAAAACTCAAGCACAGACAGCATCCATCCCACGATGAAATAATATGCCCACTGTGCCAGAGAAAACCATCTTGCCTGCAGATGAAGTGGCCAAGTTGAAAAGCAACTACAGAATCTACTAAGGCAGGAACAGCTGTTGAGAGGAGAGCAACCAAAGGCCAGGGAGTAAGATGACTCAGGTGGAGCATCTTGAATTCATCTTTCAGCAGGAGCATCTGCAGTACTTGAAACATGTACACATTAGGCCTAACGACAAACTTGAACAACCTGATGGTGCAACTTGGGACATCTCATTCATTGGTTTCACAAAGGATCACCACAATGCTCAAGTTGGAGCAATTCTACATAAAGAAAGATGGAATTTATGGTGTGAGGCTGAGATCCGGGAAGATATTACGTCACTTTCAACAGGTGATAGGGCACTGTTGAGGCCAGAAAACAATAAGACTGAATCCTGAGGGTAAAGTTTCATGTACATGTGTCAACAGTATTGATGATCAGTATACTCACTCTTGCTCTTCATCTGCAGTCAACATCTTAAACCTCTGTCACTTTACACCAGGTAAAACGGCAGGCATCTGTGAAGCATCATCATGCCTAGCAGTGGGTGATAATCTGATAGCAGTGGGCTCCATATCTCTACATAACCCAGATGGATCCCTCATCAGAACAGTACCTGCTCCAGTGATTGACAGCTACATGAACATTAGTGGCAACCATCTCATGTACATAAACTGTGGCAAGAAAACTTCTTATGTATTGATTACAAGGGCAACATCATTTTCAAAGTTGACACCATTTGCAAACCATCAGGGGTGGTGATGTCTATGTAAACCAAAAGGGAAATAGAGTTAATTGTTTCTATTCTCACATAAGGGCAGTACATTAAGGCTGTAGACACGAGAGGTAAGGGTACCCCAGTGTTCACTCCCAATGGTTATGTGGCACTACTCGATAGTTTTCATTTTCAAACAGAAACCACTCTTTGGTTCCATTCCAGTTATGGGCCGCATGCTGATTCTTATATAAAACAGGCTGTGGAATGCTCTTAAACTCATTACAAAAATGTTAAGCCATCATGGAAACACTGCTAACATAACATTCACTGACTGGCCCCCTTTAATGCATTTTATGTCATAACAAAAGTTGTTGAAAAACCAAATGGACCACGTAGAGTCTTCCAAGCATGGGTTGACAGCAGCCGACCATGCTGATCATGAAAGCATTGCATTTGCCAATGTCTAATATTAGCTGAAGTTTGAGCAACCATCATTGGTCAACTACTGGTCAATTTTGCCTAGTACCTTTATCCAGGTTACAACTTGTGTAGAGGTCACCAGGGACAAATTGACCAGTGGTCGACAAATATCTCTTGCTTGATCTCGCCCCTCAAGTTTCATATGGCAGTTATCTGCACATCATCTAGCAATGCCTCAATCAGTACAGGGATTTACTCTGGGTACAAGGCAAACACTAGACTAAAACAGGTCAAGACATTTGATCAGTGGTGACATTCTCAGGCTATATTTGTGAGAAATCAAGTAAAATCTAACCCCGTTCAGATTTCTTGTTCAATGGATTTTAGTAACTGCAATGTGGAATAGGGTCCAGGGTGGTCTAACAGTTGAGTACTTTCTCAGAGCCAAGTTTGCTACCAAATATTGAACTGGTTTAGTGTGAACAAAGCAGAACTTCAATAAAAGACTTCAGACTCCAAGAGTTTTGGAAAGATTAAGTTTTAACTGAAAAATTTTAACTGAGTATTTTATGGCAGTAAAATTAATACAATACAAACTCTGGCTCCCATCAGGAGCAACTGGTGAGAAAAAAAATTGCATAGAATTGTAAGAGGCTCCAAAATCTGTGTGCCCAAGTGAAACTTCAGCTATTCGCAAGGAAATCCCATCTCAGTCACCTTCCTCATCAAGTATACCAAGTTTTGTCCAAGCTGATGAGGACTTCCCAATGTTCCTTTTTTTGCCTGTACATGTAACTTCAACTTCTAGTCCTCACTGGTTCCGTACATATATTCCTGTTGAAGACTGTTGTTCTGTACAGTCCCTGCCATAGCAACGCCATCACAAACATCTGTCCAATTTAGTTTCACAAAAGGGAATCAGTCATCAAGAGCCTTTGTAACAAACTTATAGTTTATTCTAAAACATACTCAAAAATAACATTTATTAAAAACAAATATGAAGCAAGGATTATGAATACACAGAATAAGCAAGTAAAATGGAAAAACACAAAAACAATTAGTTACCTTGAAGAAACTTGTTTTAAAAAGCACTTTAAATTTGTTGAATACACTGTGTAAAAATTGCAAATGTTTTTACAGGTGGCAAGACTGAATATGATCTGTATTGCACAAAACATGATGCAAGACAGACACAGACTGGGCTCGGCCTAAAATACTTCAGCTGTAGCTGATAGATACACACCTTTGCTTAGTGGTTTTGGCCACTTCTAGGCTTATAGGTATATTGGCAACCAAAGCTGATGTGGCTTGATAGAGGAATATAAAGCACATCTAAATGCATTCGCAAAATAAAGGTTCATGTATATGTACAAAGGACAAGTGCACACATATGTATTTGTGTATCAATGTGAAATTTGGACACTCTGACTACCTTGTTGATGTAATCATACACAATCCCATTTCACTCACTTTTTGGACAGTTCTACAAGGAAAGTAAATTCTGAAATTTAACTACTGAATCCTAGACTGGGGGGGGGAATCACAGCATAAAATTGGCACCTTTTGACACTATGGACTAAAAAGTATAAAACCGGAAATTCCTTTGGAAAAATGCTAGCCTGCCCCTTCCCCTATGAATTAAATTGCCCAAAATGAAAACACTTATGCACAGTGGCAAAGTTAAGTTCAACACAGTCTGCCTCTGCAGACTTCTCAGACTTTGTGTGTGCACAAAACAAATCAGTGTTGTACTAGAGTCCATCACAAGTCCCTGCAAGTCCCTGTAAGTCCATCACAAGTCTATCAAAAGTCATTCAATCTTAAGCTAATTTACAAGCTATTCAAATTAACTCTGACAAAAGCATTCTTTTGTCATTGTTCACCCTGTTACTTATTAGTGGACTTGTTAAGGGGCTTCTGAAAGGACTCGTGATTGACTTGAATCCATCTCTGAAAAAAATAGTGGATTAGCATGATTAATGGAGTCTGCTTCTTCCTCTGTGAATTTCATTATTACAAATGCAATTTTGAGAAACCCTCTCTTTGATGTATTAGTAAAAGGAAACTAGCACATAAAGAATAATACACTGTCCATACGGTAGGAATGGCATTCTGTTTGGAAGTTGCTTTTGATTGTTATAAATAAATGCTTTATTGGTTGAAATGATGCCAGTCAAAGGGTTTCTGCCAGGGTCAAAGCAAAGGCTTTCTTGTGTACGTATTACATGTACAGATGCGAATGCTTAATGTTGCGTACAATGTGTCAAGATCTGAGTTTGATCATAAACACCATTGCAATGCTGCTGTTTACTGATGTTGGTAAACTCATCATGTTTGTTCCACAGAGTGTAAGCAACTTCTCCATACTTAAATAACTGTGAAGACAATAGAGAATTGGGAAAATCCAATGGAAAAAAACACAGCAAGGTGGTGAAAATTTTGGCAGGTGGCAACATTTTAGCAGGGTGTCATCAAATTTTGGCAGGATGGCCTGCCCTGCTAGAAACCTCTCTGCATCTTTTTTAGGGAGCACAGGCTGTTTGAAAACAGTTGTTTATTACATTGATTGAAATCCAGTTACAGATGACATATAAAGTGAACTATGTATGACATGCGCTCAAGATCAGACCATGTGGAAAGTAACCAGTAGAGAATTCAGAGCATGATCATCAGTCCTTAGCACAGATAAGACAATTTTCTACATATCTATCCTATATAACTGTATCTTCCTGGCCTTAGGCATATTAGGGCCACAAGTAATAAAGTACATGGTTGTATGTACAGAAAATGATTCCTGTAATTTTCGGATTATAAGAGGCAGCTCATACATTGATTCTCACGCTGAAAAATATCTCTGTGACTTACACGCTGGCTGGCTTATACAGCAACCTTGTAGTAATCAGAAAGAGTCAGTGATTGGACTGTCTGCAAATGGGTCTGCGGTAGCAGTCAGGCTAGCTGAAAGTGGGATTGGTCATGGTCGCAGTGCAGTGCATACGACACAAGCAGTTCTGTGTGAACACTTGTGTGATTCGGGCATGACAATGATGACTTGAACTATTTATTAGGTCTCGCAGTAGTCCTTCGCCTACTATTTTTGAAGCGATTTTGTGGTGTTTTTTGATTGTCGTTACCAAATTTCAACATACGCGGCTATAGTGGTGTGGACATTTCGAGTTACGGAGGCATTTTGTACATAAAAACCTATTCTTTAGGCAGGAATAAGTCGTCCGACTTTCAACTTAGGCCTAACCTACTTCAAGTTATCAAGATTTATCAGTGTTTACTGCACATCCCAAGCCCCGTCTGCATAAATTGCCTGGCCCATGCAACCAGGATAATCATCCAGCCCGTAAAAATTGGTAATTTTCAAGGACTTAAATTCCTTTTTGATACATGTAGTGGCCCTCCTTGGCACTCTGCTAATGAAGATTGCATGTGTAATGGAACCATAACTGGTGCTTCAGCGCACAGCATGATGATCTCCATGGTTGGATCATTCAGCACCATGGTGCGGCTTATACACCAACTTTAAATCTTAATTTGCCGATTTTTATGTGCTGCCGCTTCTAATCCGCACGGCTTTTATTCCGGAAATTACCGTAGTTTGTTTTGGGGAAGTAGCATGGTAACAAATATAATGCAGTAATAGTGAATGTGTACAAATCTATGATGCTTTTCCGTCACAGGGCAAAACATGTTTAAATAAGATACTGAAGGCTTAAAAAACAATTCACATGTGACCCAAAGTTACCGTTTGCAGAAGTGCAAAACTTCAAACAAATTTACCTGGAAAGTTGGAAAAGAAAATCAGTGGGCCTAGCAAGGCTCCAAAATGACAAAGCATTGGCCCCGCAAGGCCAAGGCTTTTCCCTTAGGCCTTAAAGTGCAGCTGCAATGAATTTTTCTAACACATGTTTTTGCAACTGTGTATTCTGCAATGTATAAAAACTCTTTTACTTTCTTATTTCTTTAAATTCATTGAAAAGTGCTTTTTTTCAACCCTAACCCCACCCCCAGGGTGTATGTAAAATCATTTTGAAAATTGGAGGATTTGGGACTGTTAGGACTATACACTTAAAATGAGCCATGCTTTCCTGGACAACTAAGGGCTCTTGTTGCTGTGATGTCATCTAGGGAAGACATTGTTCAGTGCATAGGTTTTTCTGTTCAAACTGTGAACCCAGAATTTACTGACTGAAATACTTCAGAGGAAAGTTTTGATACTTGCTTATCGTATGCACATAAACATCGGTGAATCAGAAAAGAGGAGAAAATTCAGCCCAACAAAATCTAGAAAATTGAAGGACTTTTTTGCGTACAAACCAACCCAACACTGACGCTTTCCTCCAGAGATGACATCACAGTTTTTCTCATGAATATAGCAATACTAATTAGCATAAAAGCCAAAAGGGCAAAAAAATTAACCCTCGAAATAGTGAAACAAATGTTGAAAATAAGGTTAACTGAGACACAAAGGTGCTTTTGAAGGTTTGCATCAAAACATATTGATTGCAGCTACCCTTTAAGGATAAAGCCAAGGCCCTGAAGGCCAAAGCTCAGCATTGCGACACTACATCACTGGTTTCTGTTAATAAAAGGCACAGGTGTTAGGATGAACCCATCCTCTAACACAGGGTCAACGTGCAGCACAAAGCCTTTTTGTAAATGGGTACACTCCCAATGGACTGGATGAAATGTTTACCATGCCAGTACCAAAACTACATGTATGCACTCTCACAGGAATCAAGAGTGCATGTCACTATAATGTGATCTGACCTGGCAAACATGCTGTGTGAATCTCATCTGGCTAAGATTAAAGGTGATCAAATGTTCAGCAGTCTGACAGTTGCTGGAATTTGGTGACAACTGACAGGGGTGACATGGATGCTCTAATCCTGGTCAGAGATGACAAAGAGTTGGCCGCTCATCTGGGGATTCCTGTCCAATATCAAGCCAGCTAACATCTCACAGACTTTGGATATTGTTTGCTGTTCCTAAGACATCAAAGCAAATTGAGGAAAAGTCTTATTGATTTCACTTGATTCCATACGACCTTATCTTGTGAGGCTGCGCCATGATGTAAACATCTCCACCAAAAACACACCTGTTCAAATGTGGCCAGAATAGCTGAGATACCATGTCCAGCAATTCAGTTTTGCTTTCAAATGCTTTCAAATATGACAAAACACTGTTGATTTCCACAGAATTCGGCACAGAACTGTAATTTTCAATCAATGAATGACTGTAACACAATACCCAGTTGGAGTATTAACATAGCTTCAGTCATGCAACTGGGAATTAAGAAAAAAGAGGAAATTCCAAACTTTACATGACATGTCTGTCAATTTGTAATGCCATAAACGAGAAGTAAGCTGATCAACAGCAAAATTCCACGTCTGTAACTTTCTTAAAACTACTTGTAGAAAAAGTTACATTTGACCCAAATTTTTTAATCTTTGGAAAGGGCATGATATAGAGCCCACAGGCCAACTCTTGATATACAGCCAAGTCACAAATCGTCATGGTTTTTATGACGAGACAGAGTGGCCCCGAATTTTTTTTTTTTTAATTTCTATTTTTTTTTTTCTGTTTTGTAAAATTGACTAGCGTATGACAAACCTGAGTTGGTGTAATCATTTTTTTTTACAAATCTACTGAAGTCAGCCAATTTACGATGATCTCTGTGAGGCAAAATTCAACCAAACCGCATTTCTAGTTTTCACAAAAAGACAAATTTGTCTTCCACAGATGTAACGTAGGGAAAAAAAGGCAAAACTCACATGAATTTGACTCTGGAAATGAATACAAATGTAACAATTTTGCACATGGCACACGCTACAGCAAAACTGTCTAGTGTGTGTACCATTTTCACAGGAATTATGAGTGTTCATGAACACACTTGTTTACAAAATAATCCACTTTCATTAAATTCTATGAATATCATTTTACAGTTCTGTGTCATTTACACTCCCCTCTCTCATGGAGTAGCATTGGTTAAGTCAGAGGAATGCTTAATATTGAGAAGATAAGTGTTTGATGAAGAGACCAACTTCATATGTAATCTTATTGAAACCTAGATTTACTCTCCAGTGAGAAATTTGCCTCTTTGTGAAACCTGTGATGACATGCTGATTAGCAAGAGATCATTTCAACAGTATTGGAACAGATATTTCTTACTGCAGACTCATGTTTTTCTGAACTCTAGGGCACATGCAGAGAAAGATATTTGCTATCACAGCAGGCCATACATAGTGGTCAAGCTCATGGCCAACCTCCACCCATCTGGGACTTTGTGTATTTACCAAAAACACTGGATATGCGAGTTTAAATGTCATTCACAGGGATCTTGAGGAACCCTGTACGTTGACTTTCAGCGACACCCGTGTATGAAAATGTATTGTGTGTTTATGTCCTCTAATGCAAAGTGGTTAAACAATCCAAGCAGATTTTACAATCGCATAAGTGTATGACCGAATTCTGTGCCACCTGATGTTCCATAACAGTTGAACTCACCTAGCAAAACCTACATAATAGTTTACCTCATCTTTGGGAGTTGTGTAGACAACAAGGAATGCTTGGACTTTCTTGGCTTTTCCCTGGGTATCTAGACTCCTCGCGAGCCGTCTATAGAATCCCAATGTCCTGTCGCTACCATCGTGTAGGTGGCACATGCAGGCTAGGAGGCCACTGTGGCCTGGCCTGGAGACTAAATGTAAGGCATTTAATGTCTCTTCACATTTCGTGGTTGCCTCCTCTTCTGCAGGTTTTACCTTTGGGAAAAGAGATAAGTGCTCACACATACATGTACAGGTGTCTTAAATATGAGTACTGTCGCTTTGTATTGGGTGTTTTACCATTCACCAATATACAGTTTATAAAATTGTATGTTTGGTGTTGTCTAAGGGCTTGTGAAAAAATTCACAGTTCGTGCTACAAGTGGCACAGGACTTGAAACCACCATTGACGAGCTTGTGCAACGCAGGTGAAAAAGAAATGAATGCAAGTTATCCTTGACTCATGCTTTTGTTTTGCTCAAGGCTCCAAAAGCACTGGTGTAGTTTGCCTGTTGTTAAGTATTTGACAGTGATGGCATGTATGATGTGATTCAAGTGAGTCAAGTGCATAACTCATTCCCATTCACACTAGTCAGCCATTGTGATGAATGTATCTGCAAACACTAGTTGCAAACAAGCGTTCCACGGAGTGAGCTTTTTTTTTAAGAATCATGTTCAGTGACAGTGTTCTGCCTATTGTGCTTTTACAGGACGGGGCAGTAGGGTATTTTGTGAATTTCCATTTTGTTTTGTTTCTTTTGGTTGTCATGAAATGTTCTCCACCAAAGCAGAACAGTCTGCTCTCTTTCTATACAATTCAAGCCGTCAACATCCAACACTGAGTCTGAATCCACTTTGCCTGATGTTGGGGGAGTGTGTTTGGATTCACACGGTGGACAGACATGTAAACGTACTGGTACTGGGATAATTGGAAAAAAGATTAGCACAAGCTAAATTTGGTCAAAGCAATTTGTTTCAAATGCTGACTTTTGTAAGGAAAAAGAACACTTTTTTTTGGGGGGGGAGGACTGGGAGCCCTGGTAGGATAAATAATAAAGGAATGCTTCTGTCACAATTTATTTGTATTGGACTGTGACTTGGCTTAAGACTGGATGACTCATCATGATGGACTTGCAGGGACTTGTGAGGACATGTGACTTCTATTGTTACAGTGTTCGTGGTGTTCTCCACTGTGTTTAATTTGAAGGAGCCTGAGAAACTTCCTTGCTTTAAATAGCCAGGGAGTTGGGTTAAAATTACCTAAAGAAAACAACTCATCCCAACGAGAAATACGTGTACTGGCCATATATTCAGACGGTCAGTGAAACAAATCTCTCTAGCTGTAAGAGCCATGCCCAGAAATAGTTTGCTGGTCTGAAGATGCTGAGTTGCTATTCAATGGCCAAGTAACGCCAACCTAACATTTCAAATCCATCTGGTACAAGTGTGCTTGAGTCATAGCTTGTAAAGAGTAACTGTCACACACGACTGTAGTTGGACATTCACATGTTCATCAACTTACAAGGTGGAGAAAAATGGAAGTATGGAAGGATTTCACAGAATCCGGCAATGTCGGTACAACTGAGACCTGCAAGAAAAGAAAAATGATAGATCCCTCTTTGAAAAAAAAATGGATTAGTGGGCATAAGTTGCATTGGAACAGTACTGAACTGAAAGGGGATAACAGGTATGTAGAATTTTGAGTCTTGAAGCTGTTTGTAGTGTCTGGATACCTTTTTCCTTTCATTACCTTAAATAAACACAAATCTCAAAGGCACTTTCCTCAGAGCAAACCGTAATTTTTCACTAATCTGTTAATGATAAAAGTGACATCCAAACATATACTCTGCATACAAACAATGTCTCCAAAATAACACTGGGCTTGTCAGGAGTCACAGCACACAACAATCCCCTGGGAAATCGTGTGCTGACAAAAATCTTATGTTTAATGTCAGGCTTATGGTAATAGCAGTTCTTGGGGTAACATGTAACTTAGCTTTCTAGCTTTTGAAGTTGAAATATGGGTGAATGTTTTAGAAGAGATCTTAGTGGACATTCGGAAGTTACATTTTTCAATCTGTCTCTTTTCTGTTCTGCTTGTGTTTAATAAGCTT